CCGTTTGAGACCCAGAGAGACACAGGCCCCCTGGGGCAGCAGTTCATGTTCTGATGAGTGCACACACGCACGTAAAGCACACACACTGACTCATCTGACGTAAGGCCGAATCTGCAGATGGAATACAGTCATCGGTTTATGGGAGCATGAATTGTGATGTCAGAAGGTCCCATATTTCAGCCTTAAATGTCAGCTCAGGCATAACGCTATGAGACACAATACACAACTGTGCCACAACATCAACCTGTGCTCGCTCATTTACTCTTAATATCCTCTTTTAGCCTTAAGGAATTCTTAAAAGTACTATACAGCTAATTAGTGGTTATCATAGCTAAGCTTTTACTTGGACTGACATTTCAACTTTCCATTTATGTCTCAAATAATTTCAGGTTGAGTATCTGTGTAGTAAGTGTCAGGGTGACTCCAAATACTGCTCTGATGGACAGACAGGTGCATTTCTGCACAAATAAATAAATCTTAACAGGTTGTGTTAAGTTGCATTCATTCTTCGACCACCATGGCTGTAAAAACAAACTATGCCACAGAGGCACCAAGAGGTGAAGCTGCACTTAGAAGGTATCCTCATACAACAGTTTATATAATATCTAACAAATAAGCGCCCCTCAAATGGCTACGTCAGGTTACACACTTGACATAAATTTACCTACTAAAGGCAAAGGTCCACAGGTTGGTTTCGGCAAGCAAAGTTATGTAGGTTAGGTTTAGAAAGAGAATCATGTTTGGCCATCATCACGTTACGTACTTAACATAAAGTTACACAAGTTAAATTCAGAAAAAGAAACGTACGTTTAAAATAAGTCAAATTTCACTTTGGTTCACATGAGAGACGGTAATCATTCTCTTGGGGGAAAGTCCTGTGTTTGTTTAACCCATCCACCACCCCAACTTGTCTCCTGGGATTTCTACTTGTGCATCTACATCGTAGCCTACACACGTCGCCTACACTGTTGTGAACATTTATACTTGTGGGGTGGTGTGTCTGCGTCACTCTGCAGTTATACCTCCAAAACACTAGTCAGTGGTGGGTTTCTGTGAAGTGCTGTTAAGTTTAATTGATTCAAAACACACATTAAACACACATTAAATACATGGCCTAATAGAGACAATTTTAAACACAAGTACACAAATCAGCTTCACTATAACTCTGGACACATTTCCCCCACAAAAACATGCTAATGTTATTAGCGCAGGCCTATGGCATTTTACATTGTATAAATTAGCCTAGCAGCTAGCAGACTTTTCCTTTATTCATATGAAGCCAGGGACAACAGCAACATTTAACAAAGGTAACGTTACAAAATTCGGCTCCATTACAACTCACCAACAAAGCAACTGTCTCATACCAAACACATTTTCCAAACAAATATAAAATGCTAACATTATTAGCACAAGCCTATGGCATTTTACATTGTATAGATTAGCTAAGCAACTAATGGGGATTTCCTCTGCGCATATGAAGCCAGGATAAATCACACACAAGACTTAAAATGCTGTTTTGTGGAGGCTTTATTGTCTTCACTAGTTATTGTTTCTTATCTATGAAATTAAAGTAAATCAAAGCTGGACAGGAGGTCTGTGTCGCTGTAATGGGTGTCCGTCAGGCTAAGGCATAGGCTTTACGTCGACACAGAGCCTAAGCCGTAGGTACGATGTCGATTCAACGCATAAGTATAAATCCCACACAGACCTCTGTCCTTACTCTTGTCAGCGTATTGGTCACATTATTGAGGACTTCATGATACAATGGTTTATATACGAATTCTGGTGCATTACTTTTCACAAGTATACGTACGAACATTGCATGAGAACAGCCTGACACTTAAAAATGTGCAGGCTGACATGTCTGCAGTTGTAACTGTTGAGATAGATACTTTTATCAGTCCCTGTTGGGAAATTGGTTTGGCATTTTGCACATCTCACAGTCACCACAGATATACCCATATCATAAAGGTCACTGACAGACAGACATACTAATGGACATAATGGATGTGCAGGTTCATGAACCCATACACATACCAGGAGGAGGGGGACAGGCAACACCATCGTTTGTGACCAGAATTGAGTGGTCAAAGTGCATAGGGCAGAGATACTCAACCCGCATTGTCCAGCGGCCACTTTTACAAAATGACAGGCGGTCAGGAGCCAGTCGTTGCAGCCATGGACATAAATTCAGGGGCGTTTCTAGGATTTGTGGACATCAGGAGCTGAGCCCAGACCTCTGTTGGGGGGCCAGGGCAACAGTTTAAATGAGGAGGGAAAATTGTGCTTCTGTTTACCAACAATGTTGTTTGCCTTCTTTATTGCTCTGTGTCTTTAGATGAGTTCCATACCTGGTAAAGTAATCTCTAATAGTTTACTGCAGGGTTCAACCTTAATGTTTTTTAATCGACTTCCCGAAAGTCCATTTTTACTTGCCCCTAGACAGCGCTGCTGCTACACACACGTGCATCTTGGCTGTGCATGGGGCATCAAGTGCTGGAGGGGGCACCAAAACAGCTAATGACAGTCGTAATCATAAGGATGAAGTATTTCGATTTAAGATAAGCACAAAGCAGTTATGGTTAGGGCGCCTACATGACCAGCAGTGGTCCTTCCCCTATACAAATTGTTTTATTTATCATAGGGCTGTCCCCAATATCATTAAGTGATAATTACCTGTGAATACTCAAAGCTTTGACAGGACACTTTGGGGTAAATCAACTACTCGATCCCAACCTAGCTTTATAGCACCTAGCAATGCCTCATGCTAGTGTGTGAAAGAGAGAGACAGAGAGTGATGGAGAGGGAGATGAAAGGTGTAAGGAACACTATTGCACACAATGTTTCTGTACGTTATTAATAACTCAGAACGCTGCAGGTCACAGCACTAGATGTAAATCAAGTGCTTCACTACAGTCGCCAGCCGTGGATAACAGTCTCTATTTCTTCTCACCTTGTCCTCATCGGGCTGCCAATGCAATTCTTTGAAGCAGGGTTCAATGACTGCGCTGCGCACTTTCCTCATATGTGTCTGACACTTGCCACCTCCTTTCAATTTCCTTGACCAGTTTACTAGTGAAAAATTAACAAAAAATAAAAGTCTGAATACTAATTTGGACGTAAATTACCACGGTTATGACTGAAGCTTTGAATCATTGAGGTTAGACCTATTTATATAGTGGTTATCAAATAACAATTTCACATGCCTTTGAAAAAGGCCAGTTTTATCAACACATTCTCACTCCGACCTCGTCACATATCGTCTTCTGGGATACTGTGTCAAGTTGTACCTGTTACATGTATTGTCTTCTTTCAAAATACACTTACGTTTTCACAGGAAATTTATCATTTACATACGGATTCTTTCAAGATAAGCGCAGTATGTCAGACGTTTTTTCCTCCAACAACTAACGCACGTGGTTAGGGTTTAGGAAAAAAGAACAGGGTTTGGCTTTAGAATCTTACGGGACGAGAACGCACTTGAGGGTGAAAGTCGGTGTTTGTTGGACCCATCTACCTTAACTTTAGTTCTTGTCCATCGTGTTTCCCCCTGATGCCGACAAGCGCCATTAAACTATAACGGCAGCCGGGCTTGTATCATGCTAATGTTAAAGGACGCCTTTTTTCGTTGGTGTCTGACGCCACAAGTCACTGCCCAAACACCGGAGTTTCGCCTACATCCTCCAACTAAACTCCTGTTCCCATTACAACTGAAGTGCTTGCTTGCACTTCAGCCCATAAACATTGGCTTTGCGTGCCGCTGTGCGCTTGCGAGTGCCCAATCTCCACTCCTTAGCTACTTCCATCATCAGCTCCAGGGATAAACAGTTTGCGCCACTTGACCCATTGGTCAAATGAGTCACTGGATTTACTAGCATGGCGTGGCATTTTACTTGCCCTTATTGTTGAGCGCTGTAGTGGCTGTTGTTAGTTTTTCTGACAGTCTCAGTAGCATTGCAAAACCAGCCGATGATGCAGAAAGATAGAACACTTTCAATAAAAGCACAGTAAAACAGTTGGAGCATTTTGTTGTGGGCATTAAAAGATAGCAATTTCCCTAGAAAGTACTTTCTTTGTTGTGTCTCTGTGCTTTTACAAGGTCACTCCACGAGTCCCATTTAAACGTATAGCCGGGCACAATGCCATGGTACTTGTAATCTGTAACCGACTGTATTTGCTCCCCATTGATAAAAGTAGAGGTTAGAGGATTGCAGCCTTCGAACATCAAGTCAAGAACTGGCCCACGCTTCTCCTCTCCGTCCCCATGTTAAGGCTTCAGTTTGAATTCCCAGACCTGTGGAGAAATCAATGCAGCAGTGTCAATGAAATTAACTTCCCTCTACCTCTGTTAACTTCCCTCTACCTCTGTGAACAACCAGCTTTTGTGATGCCCTCGGGCGCAGCGGTAACACACACACTGTGGCTGTAAAGGTGTGAAAATAAGCAGCACGCTCGACTAACCTTGCTCAGATAAAAGTAATGTGACACAAAGTGTTTTTTCCTGTCACTTCATCCTGATCAGCCACTTGTTTGTCACAGGCGTTTCTCCCCCCAGGTGGTTCTCATTGCTATCATCCACCTCTCTTTTCCTGTGTCACTGTGTTTCACCCACCTTCATCTCTCTATCCTATATTCCTTACACCCATCCCTAAATGAGCCCATGTACTGATCCATCCCTTCTCTTCTCCTCTTGCTCTTTCTTTTTCGGCCCCATAATCCCTTTTTGCTCATCTCTGCCAGCACTAATTACTAATTAACTTTCATAAGGTCCCACAGCCCGAGCAAAGTCCCAGAGGAAAACAACTACATGGGGTATTTAATCACTCGGTGTATAGGTGCATACATGTGCTGACCTCTGCGTGTGTTTGGCTCACCTGTTCTCGCATCACAGTGTCAAGTGTTTGTGTGTAAGAATAAGAATATTCATCGTCACGGTGAGGAGGACAGAACAAGTGTAGAAGCTACAGACCGTCATGCTCTGCTCTCTTTTACCTGTACAGGAGGCAACACCATGACAACAGAGATGCAGGAGATCGCCATCACGGAGGAGAAGCCTTTACTCACGGGTCAGGCTGATGCCAAGGTCAGAGACGACGGCGTGCACACGTACATACGAGAATATGTACACACATGTTGTACACACGGGCTGCATGCAAATACACACATGTAGGCTTAAATGTTTTCCAAGCATGGAGACACAGACACGCACACACTAATTTCTTGGTTGTCAGTGTGTAACCTACAAAATCTGAAACCACAGATTAACGGCAGAATCTGTGTGTGTGTGTGTGTGTGTGTCCCAGGAGACAGAAAAACAAGGCTCGGTTTGTGTCCTCGCTGTGCATGTATGCAAGCGCGCGCACTTTTGAGTCTGAGCGGAGCCTACATGTGACAACATGTGTTTCAAACACATGTGTGCACAGCCGTGTGTGTGTGCTTGTGTGTGTGTGTTTGTGGACAGCTGCAGCGCTGGCTCAGATCTGCCAGGTTGACGTCAAAGCCCCGAGGGAGCAAGAGCAGCTCCTCTGCTCTGCTGCGCTGATGTTGCCGCGCGGATGCAGCGTTGCAGAGCGGAGCGGTTTGTCTCTCACTGCTGACACCTGGTGGGTATATGGGGAAATAGCACTAAAAGATAGATTTCCAAAAGGAATAATGCAGAGACTGTCAACAACTCTCATTAGGACTGCTCTGATTCACCGGATGCAGACTGTGGCTATAAGCCTGTCACTTGCTGGTTATTTAAGCCTGTATTCTCCCCTTTGCCACTGGTAACAACAACAACATAACCTCTGAACTAAAAATGTACACGCTGAAAATGGAATGTTTCGATGAATATTTTGATCATGCAGTAAGGCATGTCCGCTTCATTCTGTCAGTAAATTGTCATAACGATCTACAGCGAATAAAATGACTTGTGATCGCACCCTGGAAAAGCCAGGCTCTGTCTCATAGGACTCTCATGCCTGATTTTGATCCGTTCTCTGACACAGCAAGTTGCCAGTGATGTTGACTTCACCTATGTATTCATCCATTTGACTTCACATGAGCTTCTGTGATATTGTCGTCATAATGTTTTGCAAGAGCCACAAACTGCTACGACATCAACTATGGTTTTTAAAAGGTCCAGTGAGCCCTTCCAGAGCTAAATTATAGTCAGGCTTCACCTCTAGGACAGGGATTACCAAATAAGGTTTGATTTTTCTATCAGTAAAAGTTGAATCACACAGCTGATATCGGCTCACTGTATTTTGTGGTGTTTTGTTTTGCAGAGATTTCGCTATTTTAATGACAATGCTTGCCTCCCGACATGCAAATCTTCCATCAAAACAAGCCCCCCTCACACTATTTTGCAAGGGCACAGTCACTACTTCCTGTGCTTAGAGCCACGCAAGACGATTGTAGTTGGTTCAAAGACATACAGACAAGTCACAAGGGTTTTTACCTTTACAGCAAATTGATAATGTGTGCTGTCAGACCTTCCTCTAGCGCTGACACAGCACTGTGGAGATAGGTCTGGCTTTATGAGACTATACTAAGACTAAAACTAGCAATACGTTTGTCAGTCTCTCAATAAATTCCGACTTCCCTACCCTGTCTGTGGCACTCAGCCCCTAGCCCACTGGTGCCTACTGAGGGTGTAAATATTGAATAACTGCTCACAAATACATTTAATTGTTATGCTTCCGCACCGGCGACAGCTGTAGCTAGAGGCATTATGTTTTAGGGTTATCCATATGCCCCATTCTTGTGAAAGCTATTTCACAAGAATGTCTTGAGGGATTTTTTTTTACATTTGGCACAAACGTCCACTTGGTCTCAACAATTAACTGATTAGGTTTTAGTGGTCAAAGGTCAAGGTCACTGTGACCTTGTCTGTCCCATTCATGAGAACACTATTTTAAGAACACCTCGAGGGAATAGACTAAACAATGAACTGATTAGGTCTATCGTCATTGGACGGATTGATCAGAGGTCGCAGGTCAAGGTCACTGTGACCTTGTGTCCATCTCATTCTCGTGAACACAATATCTCAAAAAGGCCTTAAGGAAATTTATTCACATTTGGCACAAACGTCAACATAGATCGACTCAGAGTCTACACCGTAGGTAGGAGTATAAATCCTGCATTAGTGTCAGGGTTCCTACGCAAGTATGGAAAGTATGGAAAAGTATGGAAATAAATTTGATCAATTTCCAGGTATTAAAAAGTATGGAAAATGAAAAATAAAGTATGGAAAAATATTTATGTTTCCAGACTATCACCACTGTTCTAAAATACTGTTTTCTAAAATAGAAAATTAGGTATTTCCAAAAATAATTTAATCAATCCGGATCGTGTTTTATGCCAGGCCAAGCACAGTTTGTGTGAGAGCAAACGTCTCAGAAAACATACCGCCCCTTTTACCTGATTGACAAGTGGTATGTCCAGTCCGCTGCCCCATGACCCTCCTCCAGCCCCCCAGGTATCAAGTTTCACTCCAACACTGCACCTTCGACAAGAAGACGAGTTTCACGTGGTTCACAATGGGTAGATGCAAGTTTTTGGATGGATGGCTTGACAATACCGTATATAAATACTGGTTGGCCAAGGATTCCCAATTCACACACAGAGCTAGATGCAAGCTTTGTGTGAAATCGTTTGACATTGCCAACATGGGGGAGAAGGCGATTCTGAGCCACATGAAAGGAAAAAACACCGACGTCTCGTTACTGCATCGCTTGCACCCAGAGTCCCAACCTTTTTGCCTCAGCCCAGACATTGACCTTACCTGAGTTTTTATTTACATGCCATTATGGTATTTGGCTACAATCGCCTATTAAAATAATTAAATATGATGTGAAATATGATACACTGATATATTTAATCAGATGTCACATATTCTCTGAAAAAAAAAAAAAAAACGCAGAGAAGTCTGGAAATTAAAGTATGGAAAAGTATGGAATTTTGAAATTCCAAATGTGTAGGAACCCTGTAGTGTGATCAATACACTGCAGCTTTAATCCTTTAAGATATATCTTGATATTACACCAACTAAAATCCATAAAATATTGAATCTTATATCACAGTATTATTTTGGTTATGGTCCAGATCTACAACGGTGGAACACACTGTCATTTATTGGAAATTAAAATGTGAAAATGTATCTATGAAACAAAACAGGAGCTTGTTTAACTATGAATCAGTGACAGTGACAAATACTCATAATATAGAGTGATTATTGTCGCCTGTAGCATCAGTTACAACATGACCCACAGGGGTGTGATGGTGATTGTGAGGAGGAAATGTAATGAAGACTGGGAGGTTCTAGGTTATATCCGAACCTCCATTGTTCACTGCGACATCCCGCCTCCACCCTCTCACGTCCAACATCCAGCCTCTGCCTCATGCTGAACTCCATGATCAAGAATAAGATTTATATTGATTAAACCAGTGACGTTTATAAACGCAGCCATGTGCCTCCTCCTCTCCATTCACCAAATCTCCAGGATGTCCATCTGCACATGCCCACCTCCACTTCAACTTCCCAGACTGCTAATTTCCTAAGAGCTTGTGATGCTAGTAATTCATTAGCGGGGAAAATGGATCCGATGTTGCAAATGAACACCCCATTTAAAGCTTCCCACTGACAGACTTCCTCCGTATAATCCCCAGTATTCCACAACCACCTGCTCCTCTGAAGAGATTCTCTGCTGCTTTAGTGGGAGCACAATGCCGCCCATCTTGCCTGTGTGGGTGGTAATTAGGGAGCAAGTCCTCGTTTAACATAAAGGGGCTGTGAAAAGACAAAAAGCTGAGAATATTCTCTCATATATGCTTTTTGTTTTCATTTATACACACTAAAAAGACAAAAAAAGAGGACAAAGGGACAGAATAGTCTATTTTTATGCTCATGTTTTACAGATTCTTGAAATATAACTATGAAAAGTGACTCAGATCACAAAATAAGAACCGTTTATGGAGACTTATGCAGGTAACATAGTTGTTAGGATAGCTGTTGATTTGAGTCCTTTTAAGAAAAAAAATGAAACAACTTGAATTAGTGCTGGACAATATGGAGAAAATGAAACATAAGGATTTACTGCTAAGTTCAGAAAATGACATAACTTTACTGTAACGCAGCCTTTAAAACCCGGAAAAGACAACACTTACGATATTACAATATCCAAAATCTAACAACATAATATCAGTATAATATCAACATATTGCCCAGACCTAACTTTAATCCTTTATGTTTAATAAATATGGATGTGATTTGATGTTTTGGGGAATTAATATACACTTACCAGCCACTTTATTAGGTACACCTTGCTAGTACCGGGTGGGACGCCCTTTGGCCTTCAGAGAACTCATTGTCATGTTCAAGAAACCAGTTTGAGATGATTTGAGCTTTGTGACATGGTGCGTTATCCTGCTGGAAGTAGCCATCAGAAGATGGGCACACTGTGGTCATAAAGGGATGGACACGGTCAGCAACAATACTCAGGTAGGCTGTGGTGTTTAAACCATGCTCAGTTGGTACTAAGGGGCCAAAGTGTGCCAAGAAAATATCCCCCACACCATTACACCACCAGCACCAGCCTGAACCGTTGATACAAGGCAGGATGGATCCATGCTTTCATGTTGTTTACACCAAATTCTGACCCTACCATCTGAATGTGGCAGCAGAAATCCAGACTCATCAGACCAAGCAACGTTTTTCCAATCTTCTATTGTCCAGTTTTGGTGAGCCTGTGTGAAGTGTTGCCTCAGTTTCCTGTTGTTAGCTGACAGGAGAGGCACCTGGTGTGGTCTTCTGCTGCTGTAGCCCATCTGCTTCAAGGTTGGACGTGTTGGACAACCACCATGGACACCAACAACCATGCCACGTTCAAAATCACTTAAATCACTTTTCTTCCTCATTCTGATGCTCAGTTTGAACTTAAGCAGGTCGTCTTGACCATGTCTACATGCCTAAATGCATTGAGCTGCTGCCATGTGATTGGCTGGCTAGCTATTTGCATTAACAGCCAATTGAATGAGTGTACCTAATTAAGTAGTCGGTGAGTCTATTCTCTAATTGATTAGTCGATTAATTGATTAATCATCATATTTCATGCAAAAAAGCCAAACATTAGTTTCAGATTCACAAGTGCAAGGAGCTGCTTCTTGTCTTGTGATAGTTGACTGATTATCTCTTGGGTTTGAACTGTTAGTCAGACAAAACAAGAAATTGGGACTCAATCAAGAAAACAATCTGCAGATCAATCAATAATGAAACCTAGAAGTGTACTTGGAGAGCGCAGACCTCTGCCAAGGCTAAATGCTCTATCTCAGACTACTACAGTGAAAAATAATTTGTGTACCGGCCCCATGACTCAGATCCACTCTAAAATTAAATGGCCTCTCCTTTGGCCCATGCTACACCCTTTCACCAAATGTAATGAAAGTCAGGCCTTATTTTTTCCATAATCCTGTTGACAAACAGACAAACAAGCAAACTGCACAGAAAACATAACGTCCTTGGTGGAGGTAATAATCATTAGTTGCAGCCTTGGTTGTCGTCTCTCTTTTTCCTTGTGATGAATAAACAAAAAAATGAAGTGGCATCTCCCGTGGCATTTAAAGATATAAATATCCAACAATCATGTGTGCACCTTTTTCTAACAAGACTTTATTCCTTTATTTCTTACAGGATGCTGAGCTGGCTGCGAGGATACTCCTGGACCAAGGACAAGTAAGACTGAATACTTAAAGATTTTTTTACTGAAGAGGTCATGGGTGTGAAATACAAATAAAATATTAAATATAATCATTTCAGAACAATGTGATCAGTCAGGAATGAAAAACGCAAATTGCTTTAACAGAGGAAGAACATTCCTCATAGGGGTGCTAATGGTTCATAGTTTAATGATGATTCAGGTGTGTCACACTTCAGTACGTTTTCAATACTGCAAAAAAATAGAGGCCCCGAGAATCGTCCTTGATTTTTCAGTTTGTTTCAATGTGTGAAAACTAACATAAATTGAGCGTAGCGTTAATTCAGGCAGGACACAATGTCAAGCTCAGCTCACATCCTAGCTACATCAGCTGATCTCAAACAGCCCAGTCAACTGATGGAGCAGCTGACTGATGGAAGGGAGTCAGCTGACAGATCATATGATTCAACTATGCAACCAGTTGGCAAATCTCATTCAGAGCGCCCTATTTAAACTTCTCTGGCCTGCCTACTGTTGCTGCTTCCTCTGCAAGCTGCTTTGCAACCCGCCTCCACCCCAGCTCCTCCTTTTCATGCTGTGTCTGACTTATCAATGTCATTTCTGTTTGTCACTGATGCTGCTCTGTTCTGTTCCCGGGGGGTCTTTGCTGCTGCTCTCCTGCCTTAGGCTTTCCATGTAAGCGCATGGAAGGGCAGGGAGGTTTACTGCCTTAATGAGTTCCTTGTTTGCACATGGAAGGGCAGAGAGGAGTGCTCTCTCCACCTTAGGCTTCCCTTGTAGGTGCATGGAAGGGCAGGGAGGAGGGTTCTCTTTGCCTCGAGCTTTCCATGTAGGCGTGTGGGAGGGCAGAGAAGCCCCAGAACAGAGCCATACTGCCAAATATAATACTACAAATGGAAATAAAGTTTTCTTTGACTAAAGTGTTCCTGACTAAACTATGATTAAAGAAGTCAGTTTTTACAGTCGGACACTTGAATGTCTGGATGTTGTTTTAGGAATAAAAACAACAAGGAATAAAAAAAATCTTGGGGGATTTTACTTTGATAAAGGTAAAAAAATATCTGCAAGCTCACTCCAGAAATGTCAAAATCACACTTAGAGTTTGTTGTTGTCTCTTGCTCTCCAGGAGCACAATATTGAGACCCCACATGGTGTTCTGCACGTGACCCTCCACGGCACACGAACCACCCGCAGGCCTGCCATCCTCACCTTCCACGATGTGGGTCTGGACAGTGAGTAGCTCGCTCTTTGTCTCTCTTGCCTTTTTTTTGTTCCTGAACTCTTCAGCTTTTCCCTCATTGATGACTTTTACGTCTGATTCCTCTTTTCTCTCTGTCAGATAAGAGCTGCTTCTCCCCTCTTTTCAAGTTTGATGAGATGCAGGAGATTGTCAAGAACTTTACCCTGATTCACGTCGATGCTCCGGGGCAGGAGGAGGGGGCTGCTCCCTACCCCACAGGGTACGAACTTTATTGTTATGTATATTGACGTACTGGTTTTCCCTCAGTCCTGCCGTAACCTCGTTTTCTTTTTTTTTTAAGTAAACTTCTCAGAAACGGAAACAATCTTCTGTGGCCGGATTAAACCTAATCTCTTCCAAAAATACTTCACGTCTCTCACATCTCCCTCCTCCGCGGTCTCTAATACGCTCTTGTCAGAGGTTTAAAGAAAATCCGTCCTTTTCTCTCTTTATGCACTCCTCATTTCTTCCCCCCCTGCACTTCTCTAGCACTTCTCCTCCCTGTGTGATTATTTTACGAGCTCAGTAGGATTTTGTTTTGTGCATTGTCAGAGCATCTCGGCTGTGACCTTTAACTCCTGCTGGTGATGCTTGAAATCAAAGCTTATTCTCTTTCTGATCTTGTTTTTAATCTTTGTGGATGAAATTGTCAGCTGCTACATGTGTTTTAGAAAATAAAATCTTTCATCATCATGTGATCTGAGTAATTTCCAATCATGTTTGTGCACTAACAATAACAAAATGTTGGTGTTCTCATATTATGATGGTTCATTAAACTGAGATCATTTGTTTCCTGGTACAGTTACCAGTATCCCTCCATGGACACCGTAGCAGAGATGATTCCCTCCGTCCTGCAGTTTTTCAAGTGAGTTAACAATAATTATTTTTACATAGGAACACAATCATAATTTTATTTGGCTCATGCACACTGAAGGGGATTGTGCATGAGGTATACATGCATCCATTTTAACTGATTCTCCTTGTCATGTGTTATCATTATACAGCTATACTTTTAAGTCTGGTTTTCTGGTTGTTGCTGTCGTGCTGCTTGAACTCACAGTTGGGTCAGAAATCAGAATCAGGAACAGTCAAGTAACGTAAACAGAAGTTTTTAAAAAATTGCCCCCCAAAAAAATTAGGGTTTGTCTATTGGAACTAAGTCCTACATTTCCCTTTAGAAACAACTGCTCTGACTTCACACAGAAGACACTTGTCTTGCTTAATAAACCTCTGAAAGTCGACTTCCTCGTTTGCACGATCCTGTTTAATAAGAACCATGATAGCTAGAATATTCATTGTTTTTGCAGCAGAAGACTAAGCCTTTTGTCTTCCCCATCATCACATCATGACTAGGGCTGGGTTAAAATAATCAATCCATGCAATTCAAATTGATCTTCATTCCAAGGACCTGATATCGATTCATAATATCCAAAATCACTCATTAAATATGCGCTTTTTCCTATGGATGCATGAAGCTTTAACCCTGTTAATGTCGCTGGTAGTAAACTACTGACATTTTAGATATATTTTGACTTTGTTGTTTTAATATTACTGTTGCTGCTGTAGAAAGAACATTTAGTCATAGAATATTCAGTTTGAATCCTGCTCTGAATTTGTTGTTTTTTAAATAATCCCATGTAAAATTTACAGTATTAGCTCTCTGAGAATCTCTTTCACATACTAGCAAAAATTTATGTTGTATCTAAAATATCCGCGATCAAATCACATCTAATTACATCTTATCAAATCAAATTGGAAATCAAATCAATGGGAACCTTGTGAATCAATATCAAATCGATTCAGGATATCATTGGCGATACCCAGCCCTATTGATGACGTTACGTTACTTCACCTTTCCTTGCCTTACGTGCTGTGTAAATGTGGTATTTGCCATAATTCTGCCAGTATTTCCCCATAATGGCAGCAGGAGATCATTGTTTGCGTCATCTTGTATATATTAATGTAAAATAAAAACCATACTAGCTGCAACTTTTTTTTGCAGCAGCAGAAAGCTAAGGCTTCTGCCTTCCATGTCATCACAGTGTCCGCTCATAATGTCATCATTGTGCTACATTACGTGTTGTGCAAACCCAAGTAAAAATGAGTGGTGGCGTCAGAGAAATGAATGATGTATCTATCACAACACCTTTGCACTATGCTCATAAAAATGAGCATATCTAAAAAACTAATTAATCTACACAGTTCAAATAACCTATGGAGTGTTAAAAAAATATTTTGTTTATGTTTCTACATTTAAAAAATCTTTTTATTTTGTAAAATCTGATGAAAAAACAGAATTTTGCATTTTTTAATGACACAGTTTCAATACTCTTACCAATTATTCTGGTTCTTCATAACCTTTGAGATTAGGTTTTACAGATTGTGCCAGAGTGCGCTTCAGCATTCGGAATGAGTATTTCTGAACGCACCACTGACATCATCTTCCTCCATTGTCTAAAACAAGCCTAGCTAGTGCTAGCTAACGTCTGCAGAGAATTGTTTCGCCTCCAGCTAAGCCCCGCCCACTAAAAACATTGTACTGTTTACTAACAGTAAAAGGGTCTAAATATATGAAAGAAAATGAGTAAAGTATAATCCCCTTCAATATAGCCCTGCACACCTCTCCATGCAGCTCCATATACTTAATTTTAGAGTGAAACATTTGCCTTTAAAATGTGAGTAATGTATGGTTTTAGTGCACTGTATGTTTGAACATATATATTCTATATGTAATAATAACCTGGTCTGTCCCTCTGTCAGCTTCCGCACTGTAATCGGAGTGGGTGTGGGAGTGGGAGCATACGTCCTCTCCAAGTTCACAGTGAGTGTCATCTTTTGTTTTAAGCTTTTGTGTTCCGACAGCAGCTAATAATACTACACATTGTTTTATTCTGCAAGCAATACGGAATTAACACTCGCAGTCACTTTTAGACTTGTGAAATTTTAAAGGGGGCATTAAAGGTGCAGTGTGATCATGTGCAAGACATGGTGATAATTGTAGTTTAAAACATTCAAAAGATAAACTAACATCAACAGAAAGTGAAGAAGTAACAGTTTGGAGGTTATGTCAAAGGTGTCTTTGTATTGTGTTGCAGAGATATTTACTCAAATTTTGTGTTCTTTAACCCTGTTGGTAGTTGATTTATAGTTGTGTGCAGGCATTTATACGTGTGTGGTAGTGTGTCTGTATTGCACTGCAGTTACACCTCTAAAATGCTGGCATCGGCGATGGGGTTTCTATGCCACTGTGTTTAGGTTCTGTCTAGTGCAGTAAAGTTTGATTGATTCAAAATACACCTTAAACACATAAATCATTGTTTAAGAGCAACAATATGAAACAAAACAACAAAATTAGGCTTCAATATAACTCACAAAGTCACAGACAAAAAACTTGTCTTTTGCTAGACACATTTTCCCCACAAATACAACATGCTAATGTTTTTAGCACAAGCCTATGGCATTTTACATTGTATAAATTAGTCCAGCAGCTAGCGGACTTTTCTTCTTCTCATATAAAGCCAGGGACAGCAGCAACATTTAACAAAGGTAACGTTACAAAATTAAGCTTCATTTTAACTCACAAAGTTCACAGACAAAACACGTGTCTCCTGCTAGACACATTTTCCCCACAAATACAAAATGCTAATGTTTTTAGCACAAGCCTATGGCATTTCACATTGTATAAATTAGTCTAGCGGCCAGCAAACTTTTCCTCCACTCATATGAAGCCAGGAAAAACATCAACCTTTAACAACATTAACAAAATTCGGCTCTTCGGGTCTATTTTTGTAAGCTGAAACCATTTCCCTCAGTGGAAACAAAGCTTTGATTTACTTCAACTTCACAGATAAATACAAAAAATTGTAAAGACAATAAAGCCTCCACAAAAATAGTGTTTTAAGTCTTGTGTGTGATTTATCTTGGCTCCATATGAGTGGAGGAAATCTCCACTGGTCGCTAGGCTAATTTATACAATGTAAAATGCCATAGGCTTGTACTAATAGCGTTAGCATGTTATATTTGTTTGGAAAACGTGTTTAGTGTAAGACAGTTGTTTTGTCAGTGAACCTTGTGAGCTGTGATGGAGCTGAATTTTGTAATGTTACTTTTGTTAAATGTTGCTGTTGTGCCTGACTTTATATGAGTAGAGGAAAAGTCCGCTAGCTGCTAGGCTAATTTATAAACTGTAAAATGCCATAGGCTTGTCCTAAAAACATTAGCATGTTGTATTTGTGGGGAAAATGTGTCCAGATAAAGACAAGTCTTTGTCTGTGAATGGTGCGAGTTATAGTGAAGCTGATTTGTGTACTTGTGTTTGAAACTGTCTCTATTAAGCCATGATTAATGTGTGTTTAATGTGTGTTTTGAATCAACTAAACTTTACAGCACTTCACAGAAACCCTGCCACCGACTAGTGTTCTGTACACAGTTCTGATTACTGAAATAATCTGAAAACATTCTGTGTTGTGATGCTTTTCTCATCATCTCACCATCTGTCTCTCTGCCGCTTCCTCTCTCCTCAGCTTGCGAACCCAGATTCAGTTGAAGGTCTGGTTCTGATCAACATCGACACTAACGCCCGAGGATGGATAGACTGGGCTGCTCAGAAGGTCCGTTTTGTCTCCTTTCTTCCAGGACTGCATTGTGTTGTACACAGAAACGTGGTATTTTAATGTAGTTAGCACTGATGCGACTTCCCCATCAATTTAAGTTTAGCTGTGGATATGAAATTACACAACTGTGTGCATGGTCTGCGTCTCAGAGTAGTATTGATTATGTCATTGTTTATCGTATTAAGCTTACTAAATGATGAACCATCTTATTGATTTCTCTTCTTCTCCGTCTGTAGCTCAGCTCCGTGACGTCCTCCTTCACAGAGCAGATCCTGTGCCACCTTTTCAGTCAGGTATGAGGACAATCATGCAAAATGTGTTTTAAAATACGCCGAAAACGCAACATAATTTTCACAAATAGCTTTGGTTTGCTGCAAAAAAATCCAACCTTCAGTTATTTTGTATCATTTTGTGAGAGTTTTGCATTGCAGTCGAAGAAAAGGTCTGTTTTCTTGCAGGAGGAGCTGTCATCAAACACAGAGCTAGTGCAGTCCCACAGAGAGCGCATCTCCAAAGCTTCTAATCTGGTCAACATAGAGCTCTTATGGAAGACTTACAACAGGTAAACACACCCACAGACATCATTACATAAAGGCAAACAGACTCCACATCAAACAACAGCAAACATAATTTTCTCTTTTCCCTCCAGTCGCAGAGACTTGAGCATCGACCGCAACAACACCTTTAAGTAAATAACCTCGAAGCTTTCATCTATACACTTTATCTGTGGTTTGATTTTTTTGTTTTAATACAAACAAAAATGCCTCCCATCTGAACTCTATTTCTGTCATCTTCAGGTGTCCAGTAATGTTGGTGGTGGGTGATCAGGCTCCCTATGAGGACGCTGCTGTGAGTGTTTCGGTCTTCTTATGTCTGAAATGTCTCCGAATGAGGACTTGGCATGTTTTATGTATTCTTATATTTTCTGTTTCACATCAACACAAAGGGTACAAAGGGTTGAGTCTTGTTTGATGGCAGAGGTTTACTGTTTTTCCCTCTCTGACCACTAGGTGGAATGCAACAGCAAAATGGACCCAACAACAACCTCATTCCTAAAGGTAACTAAAGCTCATGTCTTTCTTTTTTAATCTTTCTCTCATGTTACCTACTCTTTCACTCTGACTTACGTCTTCTCTCGCTCCTCCACAGATGGCTGATGCTGGTGGTCTCCCTCAGCTGACCCAGGTAACAACAAACTGACAGCTGCAACAAGCTGTCATGTTAAATTGGCCATCACAATGTGGGCTGTCAACAGAGAAAATAATGCTACCACTCTAAATTATGCACCATGTTTACCCAAATTAATGCATGAATTGATTAATTGAAAAATAAGAAAGAAACACATAGCATGATCTGAAACAGAAGCACCACGCCAGGAATAAAGTCTTAACCTACCACTAAAGTAATATCCCCAGTTCCCTATCTCCAAAACAACAAAAAGAAAAGAAACCACTCAGGAAAAACTGCAGATTTTTCTGATTTAGCAGAAATTACGAGTGTTTTAGTTTTTTAGAGAAGCTATGTAAAACATCTGTGATTTACATAGTTGTGACAACAGCGTCTGGATATTAACAGTAGCCACAGTATGAGCGCGGTGCAGAGTAGCAGCACTTCGCTAGCCAATGGGATACACACATGCTAACATATACAAACAGCTGGACCGTCTACCACGACAAAGAACAGAGAAGCTTGAATTACAACACACACAGAGAAGTAGCTTGACTCAGGCCCAATCCCAATACCCCCCCTTGTCCACTACCCCTTAGCCCTTGGCCCTAGCCCTAGCCCATGCCCACTACCCCTTGGCCCTCAAAATGAAGCAGCAATCTTTCCCTAGGAATTGGGACACCACTCACTATGTCACCAGGTCGGTTACGTTCACGCATATGTAACTATTTTAAACAGGAAGCTGAGAGCCATCTACATTTCTAACCAGCATCTACAGTGGGGTCTCCGGTTGAGTTCATCCTACCGATTGCGTTTGCCGCATTCATCATGCTTCGTTTGATGAACGACAGACGACAGGGGACTTCTGCTAGCTAGCTAACCAGCTAACATTACGAGGCAACATAGTTATACTAGCTGGCCTGTTATCGTAATGTGAAAAGTCCAACAATTTTGCAGAACAGGACGGATGACAGATGCCAGATAGTGTGAGCTAGCTAGCTAGCTAACAAGCAACCTGACGCCGGTAATGTTAGCTATGTATGAACTTTTTTCCCATCTCTTGCTCAGTGGTAGCCATGGCAATGTCTAACCCTCGCCGGCAAGTCAGCATCTGAAATCCCTCACTCCTAAGGGCTAGTTTCATACCCACTACCCCTCGTTATGCCCCCTACCCCTACACGCAAAAAGGAATTGGGACACCACTACCCCTCGCGGGAATGCGCAAATGTAGGGGTAGGGTATTGGGATAGGCCCTGATGGACTAAGAGTCTCATCCTACTCTCCAATGTGCAATGTGTGAGCTCAGTCCTGCGTGTTCTTTAATGAAGCAATAGGAGAAGATATTCGGTCTCAGTTAATGTAGTTTATTAAGCAGTAAAGGAATAAAATTACAGAGCTCTGGGTCTCAACTTCACATCCCTGACGAACAACAAGGGTGTGTCAGTTCACGAAGTCTGACCTCCTGTCCTTTCCCTGACCCAGTATATTTGAGCGTAACAGAATGTCATTGTGCAAGCAAGGCGCTGTCCTCTTCTCATTGGCAGTTCCACTTCCTTCTTCACCACACCACGCCCCTGCCTCGTGTTAATCTGACTCCTTCCCGCTGGCGGTGGGGGCGTGGTTCCTGTTTTGAAAGACAAGAGAACAACACAACTCCCTACACGTGCTGTACCTTACTATCTGTACATCACTTTCTATTCTTTTTACCATATATGAAACTAATTATCTAAGCATTGCGGTATGTGCTCCTCAGACTTCATGTCTCTTCCTCTCCTGTACTTCTCCACTTCTGCAAAGCAAACACATTCAGATCAGCTGAAATCATCTCAGTATTCTCATTGTTCACACATCTAAAACTTATATAGTGAAACACAACTTATAGTAAAACACATAACATCATTCTATTCCCAACAGCCCTTAATGTTCTGCTTGGGATATCATTATTCCATGATATCTTTACACAGTAAATAGTTGTTTGCTGATATATTAATGCTCTGAAAGTTGTAAACAGGCCAGCACGGTGGCGTAGTGGTTACCACTGTCGCCTCACAGCAGCACTCCAGGTTCCTGGTTCAGTCCCAGGAGGGAGCCCTGTGCGGAGTTTGCATGTTCGCCCATGTCAGTGCGGGTTTTTCTCAGGGTGCTCCAGCTTCCTCCCACAGTCCAAAGACATGCAGGTTAAATGGTGACTCTAAATTGTCCGTAGGTGTGAATGTGAGTGTGAATGGTTGTCTGTCTATATGTGTCAGCCCTGTGATAGTCTGGTGACCTGTCCAGGGTGTACCATGCCTCTCGCCCAATGTCAGCTGGGATAGGCTCCAGCCCCCTGTGACCCTCAAGAGGATAAGCGGTTACGAAAATGGATTGATGAAAGTTGTAAACAGAACCTTTAAATTAAAAACGTCAACTTTGGCTCCATAGAGCCTACATATACATATACAAAGTTGGATGACTTACTACTAATGTATAAAAATGAAGCCAAGGTATCCCAGATACCGCCGCTGCCATCTTACGCTGTTGATGTTATTTGGAGCCAGATGGTGCTTCTCAAAGTCAAGGATGCAGGACTCCTTCCTAGCATTCAGTGAACAGACATTGGGACAGGCAAGTGAGTGCTCAGGTTTGGGTCATTAAAGAGGCCCTGCCTTCGATTCTGGCAAATTGTGCACAAAGAATTTTAATACCCGCTGAGGATACACACATGAATCCTTGAAAATTCCCTGAACAAAGGACTTGGTCCTCCACAGAATTTGAAGGATCCTTGACATTGGAACAGTCCCTCAGTGGGATTTGATGACGTAGCCTCCTCAAAATTCAGCTGTTTAAGGATCTTTCCTTGACTCTGAGAAGCACCAGAGTCTACACATAAGTGATCTGTGTTGTATCAAGTTCCAGCCCATACACCCGTCTGTCCAATCGTTAGAAGGGCCATTGAGTGCGAGTACACTGATTGATTGGCACACACAGCTGTGAATAATGTCATCAAACCCCCTTTTTACAGTGTCAAATTACTAATTAAAACCAACCTTGTAAGACACATACTTGAACATACAGCAGCATGATGAAGAACTACGTAAAGTGACAGAAACTATCTTTCAGAGAAGTTTATTTGACGTGTATGTTGAGTTTTTAGTTTGGCCGATGTCCCATTCACTAACAAAGAGGGGGCAGGTTCAAATAAACACAAGAAATTTGTGCTCTAGAGAAAGGATCAGCGCTCAGTGAAGACCCTCCTAAGCCCTATGATAAGCTATTGTGGCAAGGCTTAAATATACAGACCAGTGAGCAGTGATAACTAACGCATCTTTGGGGTCATCAGGTGGGAACCTCCTTTCACCGGTGTTTCATCTAGTTGGTGCCACGACACCTCCAGGAGGCTAGACAGTGATCTCTGGCGTCCCAGAGACACTCCCCCAATGCCAGCTCTCACTGCTCCCCACACCGACCCAACAACCTCCTTTACCTTACCTATACTACCACAGAAGAGGTAGACCCAGGGAGAGTAGCCTAATTAAGGCAATAACACTCCCCCACTGGGTTAGGCTGTACAGTCTACCTCCCCAAGATGAGCCCTTAAAACAACCTCCTTTACCTTACATTACACATGGCTTTCTCAGCCCAGACAGCACTGCCACCTTCAACAAACCCAGGCTCCATTTATGCAAGCTCCAGGTAGTGACAGTGCCGATACTACCCATCCTAGCACATTCACCACACCCTATTTCACATGCTACATACCATAACTCCAATATAAGCTAAAGTTAAAGGAGATAGAGAAGATAAACTCACAGAATCAGCAAACACACTCACCTTGCAGCATGATCTCTAACAAAAGGGACTCAACTAGGCCACTCCCACACTTAAATAACCTTCCTCTTCCTGGATTTATGACCAATACTTGACCTACACTGCAGCCAGCTACCAGGGGCCGATTGTTGTCTATGTCTGTATATGGTCTATCATTGGCTGTCACATTGGCGCCACATTGCCCTGTTGTGTAGTTCAGGTAATCATTAGTGAATGCACAGAATGTAAAACGCCATGTGTCTTCTTTGTGTTTGCAGCCTGGGAAACTGACCGAGGCTTTCAAGTACTTCATCCAGGGAATGGGCTACAGTAAGTTCACTTGTTAGGTCTTTTCATAGGATGTGACAACGATGATGTTAGGTCATGTTTACATCGATTTCAAATTTTCTTTTTCTATCCACAGTGGCTTCATCATGCATGACCCGTCTGTCCCGCTCACGCACCACCTCCCTCTCCTCCTCCTACTCCATGGATGGGTCCCGCTCTCGCTCCCGCACCTTGTCCCAGGGCTCGCAGGGTGGCCAGATGCCGCCCAGCCCCTCCCAAACGATGGAGGTGTCTTGCTGAAGGGAGAAAACAAAAAAATGATAGGGAGAGAGAGCGAGAAAGAGAAGAGGGCAAAGGCGAAAGGAAGGGAAAGATGAAGCATGACGATAATGTAGGAACAAGATGAATGGGTTACTTATTTGTCACTAAACAACTCCCATCATTCCCCACAAGAGCAGAATAGGACTAGAGACAGGAGGAGGGAGGGAGGGAGAGAATTAGAGTGATTTCAGAACGAGATAGAAACCTGTCTTGTACATTTTGCACCACACTTAAGTCCAGTCCTTCTCCTCACATCCCCCTTCCAGCTTAAAACAAAGTGGACTGGGCTGTTCTACTATGAATATAGGAAGTATAGGTCAGAAGAGAATAACAAAATGGGGGGAGGTGGGGAAAGAGTGGCCACCAGTCCTCTCTCCCTCCCGCTATTGGAGCCTCTGTCAGCCAATAGAGCCCTTTAATTTAGATACGGAGGCCTATAGTCCACACACCTTGCGTTAACCAATAGTAATAATCCTGAAAACGGTATTGTTGTTGATGCTGATGATAATGTTGTTTGATTATGATATTGAAGCTAATGATGATGATAGAAAAAAAAGTAACTTTTTCTCTTTATTACGCAATGAGTTTAAAACGACATAGATTAAAAAAAAATACCATACTATAGCAGAGATACTTATAACAATGTGTGTCTACTACTTTTTAAGCTAGTTTTTATTGTGTTATTTTAATTTCTTTAATCGGATTTTATTTCCGCATTTGTAAACCTGCCTCAGCAAACAGCTGACGCTGCTGATTGGTTGACCCGTTGTGCGGCAGCAGCCAATGAGAGCCATTATAGTGACTACTTCCTCCTTGATGTTGCCAGGTCCTTTATGTCTTCCATTTGCCCCGTCTATGAGTGACTGTTTTGTTTTTCCATTGGATTTGAGGAGGTGGGCAGGAAGGTTTTTTATTTTAAATTTTTTGTTTGTTTCCTTTTTTTTATGGACTTGGAAGTTGCATGCCTGGTATCAGCCCATGTGGATATTGACTGGATAATATTTTTCTTTTATATTCTGCTAATGAGTTGTGTGAGTTCGAGTGTGTGTGTGTGTGTGTGTGTGTACTGTTTTGTTTCCATGGAGCGTTTAGCAAACGTGGTCTGAAGGTAAGCATATAGGTGAGACTGAAGGTGTTAGCTCCAGCTAGCTAGCGCCCTATCGTTAACTAGTCGCACACTAAATAGTGCTTCCAATATCGCTGGCAATCTCGCACTGCGTCGCCTAGTATCCAGGCTTGCGTACTACCCAAACTGGGGTGCATAATATCGCTAAGTAGCATGCTAGCATGGATATTGCATTTCAGTGTTAGGCGTGGCCAGAAAGGGATCACTGTGTTTATCACCTGGGGTTGTAATCTTCTAGCCTTGCCCGTGCATGGATACCTCCTAACAAACCCAGCTAGCATACTTGAGTTTCTGTGCGACGTGAGGTAAAGTGAGCTCCTCTTTCGCAACTAGCGGCTTTATTCAAGCAGTGGGTTCAAGAGAATCATGTTGCGGTTGTTGCAATATATGTGTGTCCGAGGAAGTAAATGCGAGGTGTATGGAAGCGCTTGTGTCTTGTAAGCACAATTGATGCAGCAAAGAGGGTTAGGGTCCTTTAGAAAGGTTTAGTTATTTAGTTTTGAGACCAACAAATCGCCCCTGTGACTTATCAAGACAATGTACCAGCCCCTTCACTGCCAACACAAGAACAATGTTGCCACTGGGGCTGCACCTTTTGGTACAGCCTCAATCATACGAGGCAAAAGATTTAGTCTTTTGTTTTGAGACTAAAAATGAACAGCCAATATCTGCACCTTGAACCAATCTGGAATTGCAGCGTTCTTACTGCCAAAACTGAGAGCCCACTTAATCTAAACTCATCATAAAGCTTACCACTGCCCTACAACATGTAGCCATTGGACTGTCTGTACTTTTAAAAGGACCCCTATTTGGACCCAATCAAATATCCTTGAAGCGCATGTGCATTTGTAAGCGTGCCACCTGTGTGTGTGCATGCATTTGTGTTCTGATGCAGCGTTGCATCTGGTTATTCTTTTCTTTAATAAGCAGTATCATTTTTATAAGTCGGTTGGAGGTTCCTTTCACATGCTGTCTAGTGCTCCTTTCCCAAACATGTTTGATGAAGCAGAGACGGAGCAGTGATTTGGACAACAGTGACAGGGAAGTCAGTGGAAGGCCTCAGAGAGATGTTAATGATGGTAGTGACGATGATGATGAAGGCAATAATCTGTTCTCAGTCCCCTCTGGCTCATCACAATGTGCAGTTTACACCTCTTGCATTTATTAAGGAGAATCTTGATGATCAGATTTGTGCTATAATGCAAAATGTGATGTTTTAGGCACTTTTGTTGCTGTCCAGAGAGCTGAAGTGTAGAATGTAAACATTTGGCTCCCAGACTGAAATTAAAACTCAAATGATCGGGCATGGGAGCATCTACCAAATGAGAGATACCAGATAGAGCTTGATCAGTTAAATTGCCAAAAATGGAAAACGAGTGGAACTTATTTTCAGAGAGGTGAGCAGGGCTGTGTGATTGTAAATGCTTGTCCATTTTGTCTTTTGTCTCTTAATTTTTACTTTGATCACATTTTACTTCCCCCCTCTATGTTTTGAAATTCAAATATTTTTTTTTTTTTTTTTTAATCTCTGTGAAGTGTTAGTTTACCGTCCCAATGTGCTCACAAGTTAGTTAACCGTGTGATAGTTCTTGTGTAACTTTTTTAGCATTAGCACTGATAAGGGAGAATAATATAATTAACAATGGAAAAAAAAAGATTAAAGGTAAAGAGAATACAATCAGTTTTATTTGTGTGGCTAATTTCTCTGTGTAACACAATGAACATCCTAAAAAAAAAAGCAAACTTAAATATTAATAAAAGCTTAAGCGAAATATCCTGACTCCTGCGTTGTATTTTCAAACAGGCTTGATGTGAAAATACTGTGTATGTGTGTAATTTCTGTTGATTTTCTCACTTTAAATACATCCACATTCCCATAATCTTGTAAAGTTAGGTCCTGTTTATACAACGATTTCAACCAAAAACTGTAACCTTTAGTTGCATTTTGGCTGATCGTTCAGAGAAACAATTCTGTTTTCAGCGGATCTTTTTTGTGTAAAAACTGTGTGCACTACAGAGACAGCTTCAATTTAGCTTCTGGCTAGTGATGGCCAAATGAAGCCTCATGAACCACTTTCTTTATTTTCTGACCCCACCAGATGGCGCTCTTGGTTTAAAGATAAAGGCTGAAGGACTGGCAATGAAGTGTGCTTTCAAACCTTTGTTGAACAAACAGCGCCATCTGGTGGCTTCAGAAAATAAAGACAGTGGTTCATGAGGCCTCATTTGGCCATCACTGCTTCTGGCCATTGGTGGCAGCACTGAACATAATGCTACTGAGCAGCACTCTGGTTCAAGAGCAAAGAAAGAAATTGTGCGCCATCTTGGATTTCATTCATTCATTCATTCATTCATTCATTCATTCATCTTCTAACCGCTTCATCCTCTTGAGGGTCGCGGGGGGGCTTTCATGTCCATGTCGTAATATACTGTGTGTTCCAATCCCCATACTACCATACTACATAGTATGCCAGGAAAATATTTAGTGTGTCTCATATTATGGGAAATGCAGCATGCCAAAAATACCTGGATGTTCTACTACATCTGGTCCAACTTTTACAGTCTGCAAGCCAGCATGCTTTTCTGGCTATTATGACCCACAATCCTCTGCACAGCGGACGATACATCACATAAACTGACCCGCAAACAGATGAGAGCTGATTGACAGCTGTCAGAAGTTGTAAGTAACTGATGACCAGTCAAATAGTAATAATAGGAATATTAATTGTTTAAGGGATCAAAATATTCATAAATATCACCAACAACATGACATGACTATAAAAATGACTGACAGAGAACTGCAGATGTAATTTCACTATTGCAAATATTATGTTAGAATCTAAAATCTGAGCAGTTATAACTTAAAAGGTAAACTACACACATCACAAAGTAACATCAGAGCTCACTGGATTGATAATCTCTGGCGAACTCGGTAAGTGGTGTTTGTTTCCTGTCCAGGGTAATGGATATGAAAGCAAGAGGGTCAAAGTTCAGGGTGTAATGTTATGAGTAAGCAGTATGTCCTGACTGTGCAACAGCACATACTTTTTAAGGGCAGCTGCAGTACATACTAAAAGTAAAAACAAAATGTAGGCAATTCAGAACACACCCAGTATTTGGGCACTGTCTTAGATGACAAATTGAATTTTGATGTGAACACTGACGGCATCTGAAAGAAGGCAAACCAACACCTGTTCTTTTTAAGGAGGCTGAAGAGTTTCAGGAGATCTATTCTGCTTTTATTGAGTCCGTTCTTAATTTTAACATTGTCTGTTGGTTTGGTAATCTGAGCCTTAAAAACAACAAGTTGGAAAAAAGTGCTCAAGTTGTGCTGAAAGATCACTGGTGTTACTTTAAATTACCTACGGCATCTGAGAGAGAGGGTCACCTCTAAAGTTCAGACTCTCTATATCCCCTCCATGTTGAGTTTCAGATGCTTCCATGACGGCAGAGGTTTTGTCTCCATAAATGCAGCACAAAGCGTTACAGATCGTTCTTTGTTCTGTCTACTATCGCTTATCTTAACCAGCAGTGACCCTTAGTGTCCATGATTTACCCCTGAGAGTGTGTGATACTGAATACTGTGTGTTGTGTATTGTACTGTCTTGTTGTACTCATGACTGCTGTCTGTATCTCTATTTGCCCCTCTGGGAAATTAAAGTTTTACCTTACCTTTAGTGATGGCCAAATGAAGCCTCGTGAACCACTTTCTTTATTTTCTGACCCCACCAGATGGCTTTCTCGGTTTAAAGATAAAGGCTGAAGGACTAGCAATGAAGTGTGCTTTCAAGCCTTTGTTGACCAGACAGCACCATCTGGTGGCTTCAGAAAATAAAGACAGTGGTTCATGAGGCCTCATTTGGCCATCGCTACTTACCTTAACCATAGATTATATATAAAGATGGACAACACGTCTCCTCTTACCTCCACTGTACAGAAGTGAGGCTAAAGTATTCTGGATACAGCCACTGCCATCTTGCTGTGGTGGCATCATTTGCAGCCAGAGTCTGTGCAGTAGGGATTTCGGTGGTATCAAGTTTCCTGTCCATACACTTGTCCGGCCGATCGCGAGCAAAACCACTGAACGCGATCCCACTGACTGGCTCATACAGTTATGAATCATGTTGTAAATCCCCATTTTATAGCACTAAGTAACAAATGAAATCCAAACTTATCAGGAAAGCAAACACTTGAACACACAACAGTGTGATACAAACTACCTAAAATGACAGAAACCATCTTATGGAAACATTTATTTGATGTGTAGTTTGAGGTTTTAGTTTAGCTCATGTCCCTTCTGCTAACATGGAGAGGACTGGCTTTATGACCTGTACTGCAGCCTGCCACCAGGGGGCGATGGAAAGTATGGCTTCACTTTTGTGGAGCTGTCATGGCGTCCGTCTTTGTTTACAGTCTGTGCTTGTAATTAGGCAGCACATGGAAACCAAACATTGACACAAAGCCTTTATATCACTCTTGTGTCCCATTAGTGCACATTGTGAGGACATACTTCTTGAAACAGGTGGGTTCACTTGGCAAGCAGAACAAGACCTTAATAGGGCGAGCTTGTACTTAACCTTGTTAAAGGCGACAGTACTGTAGCTACAAAGTAATTGCTACTGAAGTTAGCACCAGGCTACAACACAGAATAACACCAAAAATAACAGTTACACAAAAAGAAAGGTTAAATACCACTGTGGGGGATGTGATTGATTATTGGCTTTCAATCAGGAGGAGCTTAATCTCTCAAGACATTTTTTTTATTTATTTATTTATTTATTTTTTTACAGATGGATTTCCAGATTGGGAGAAGGTTGACAACAAAAGTAAAGGTGCAACAAGTTATTTGTTTTTGGGGTAAATGTGATATGACTGAAATGTTACTAGTAATTCGTCACACCAGTGTACTTGTTAATGTTACATCAGTCACGTGTTAGTGCCCAGTACTGCTGTTAAATCCACAAACTTTAATTTTGCCCAGCAATTTCTTCTGGAAAACAGTCTTTGAATTGTGTGTTGAACACCAGTGAAAGACTTCTTCAAGTTCTTCTTTAACCCTGATTACATCTTTACCCTGTATATATTTTCCTTCACCATTTTACTTGCATAAAATTAACACTGTGACAAATACTCTAGTGTACTCTAATATTAATGAGACCCACAAAATTTTATGATACTGTCCCACAGCCAAACGTGTCTAGATGACTTCAGTCCCCAGAGTAGTCAGACTGCAGTACCACCTTATACCACACAGTGGCAGAAGTGTAATTATTATATTTAGTTCCTGCTCAACTGTTATGCAGAAGTGTATATGTGGTGTGTTCATATGAAGAATATTTCACTACCTCTAAAAGACTGTGTGAAAATAATAAATGGAGTTGTCTCTTAAATCTATAATTACTAGATGTATAAGTATGGATTCATAATATGTATTTCAAATGAACAGTCAACCAGTTTCTGTGATGATAGCTTGATTTTTATTATACAGAATCAAAATGTCTTTAAAATTGTAATTTAAAAAAGTCAGTTCTTAGTCCTTCAAAGTGAATTGAAAATAAAACTTAATTACTTCATTAATCCTTTAGTGTCAATCAACAATGACTTTGCAGCTACACATTTTACACAATGTTTCAGGTATATGTTCCAGAAAGGAAAATATTAAATACAGTATCACTGTAGTATCAGTATCACAACATTATTTTGTCATCATCATTTGAATGAATAATAATAAAGAATCAAGGGAACAAGTACATGTATCTTTTAAACATCAAATAAAAACAAAATATAGGAAAAAATAGAGCAAAACTGGAAAACCTCCTTCAAAACTGCACTATGTATATATGTATATACATGTGTGTAAAAAAAATTACAATAATATTAAGACTTATTTGATTGGTGTCATTGAAGTTCTCCATAATAGAGATTAATCTGCTATTGTTCGATTCAACTGACAACAGTTAATACAAAAATATAGCATATTATATTTACTGCCACAATAGAAACAGAGCCTGCATTACTTAGCATCAAAAATATATTAACAACTGAAACTAGGATGAAACTTGCAAAAAAAAATTAAAGAAAGATGAAACTTAACCTGCAGCAAACTTGAAGTAGGCTGTGTTTCTTAGGTCCAGAGTGTTTGTGGAGAACAAGATTTCCTTACAACACCATCATCTCCTCTATTACTTCCTTGATTTGTTTTGCCTCAGAGCTGAATGCAGAGCTCAGCGTATGATCCTGAGTAGTGTCTTTGCTAAATATCTACCCAGAGAGATCTGTGCTTCTAAGGTATAAACATGAGTCAGGCCCATAGATTCAAGACACCTAAGTTCACTGACAATGTCAAAGGAGGGATGACTGATGAGCTGGAGCAACTTTAGAGGGTCTCTGGAGCGGATGTGAGTCAGGGATTGAGTCCAAAGGACCACCAAGGGCAGAAAATTCTCCAGTGGTACCATGAAGTAGACAAGAGTCTCCTCCACTTTGACACTCCCACCCAAGTCTCTGGCCCTGTGTGCTGTTTTAATGGCCTCATTTATGTTTGCCTTGAAAGACAACAACACTTGGTGTCTGGCTCTCATGTGACTGTCAAATCTGGTGTCTGAATCACTGCAGAGGTTGTTGACTTGTGTGGAGTATCTTTGAGTGACCTGAATTTGTTCACAGTAGAACTCAACAGACTTGAGTGCGTTTTGCAAATCTTCCAGAGCTTGATTGATGCAGTTTGGATCCTGATGCCTGTCCTTGGCTAAAGATGCAAAAGCACGGTTATAATATGCAACTGCTGCCCAACAGTGGTCCTCCTGTATGGCCTTAGTGTACATCTCGATACTCCCTGCAAGATTTCCCTTTTTGCGCAGATCATTGCCAAATGCAATGTAGTGGTGCAGGTTTGATGAGGGTGATTCTCTCTTTGTGAGTTTTTGCTTGGCTGTTTTCAGGTCTTTACCTAGTTTGTGTTTTAAGTCCATGATTGATTCGTTCTCATTGAAGTTTGTGAGGAGCCACATACCCCAGAATTCATTCAGTGCAGACAAATCTGAATCTGCTGGCCTGTTGTTACTGCTTTTGTACACCTCATCTAGTGTTTCCAGGTACTGACTGAAGAGCTCTTCCTTCTTCTTTACTTTAGGGATGTCACACTCCAAGTAGTGAGCTAGTCTTTTAGCCACAAAGACATCTCTGGCCTTTTTCACCCTCTTCATCTTTGAATTTGAGATTTCAGTTAAGATACGTAAGAGCATTGAAGACATATCATTAGATTGCTTGTAACTGTGACTTCTTTTGTAAGACCTCATTTGCATCACAAAAAGATGTTGCAGGTTATTCGTCTTATTCTGTGTGTCCCTTGGAACCAGCCATTGGAGTAGTTCTGGGAGATGGCCGGAGCAGACAATGAGTTGAGCAGACCCGGGGGATCCTTGTCTGGCACTACGACCAAATGCCTGGACCTCCACACGAGCATTGTCAGGCAGGAAAGTTTGCACAACAAACAAACCTCCAGCTGATTTTATGTCATCAGACACTTTAAGGTCAGTCCCACGACCTGCAAGGTTTGTTGCTATGATAACATCTCCACCCTGAAGCTCTTTAAAGACTTCGGAATTGTCCATGTTGTTGCTTATATAAAGCTTCTTGTTTGAGACTTTATCTCCTAGAGTGTTGTGGAGAACCTTTGCTCGATTGATGGTCTCACAGATGACCAACACAGCCCTTTCATCCCTGTAAAGAGTAGGGTTGGTTTGTGCAGTGACAATGTTGCAGATTTTCTCAATCCATTCTTTTTCATCATCTACAATCACACCTTCTACCTCAAACAGCTTTCTGAGTTTGAATGAAGGTATCTGACAGGTCTAAAAAACTTTGTAGATTTTCTGCAAAGTCTCAGTCTCTGCTTGTTGGCCAAGAGTCCCAGAGATTCCAAAAATCTGATCTCCATACTTGAGAAACAACCCCACATTGGACATATAGTTTGTGATGGCTGTCATGTCAGTCAACTTGGACTCATGTTTCATTTCAAGAAACTGCTGTAGTCCATCTGACAATACTGTGAAGTTCTCAATAACACCTGTGCAGCTGTAGTCAACAGGAACTACCCCGTGTCTCTCGATGATATATTCATGGCCCTTTGTCATTTTTTGTGCTTTCAATGCATTTTGAATCCAAACCTTTAGGTTCGACTCGACAAGATCTGAAAGGAAGCCAGGGACATAGAGATGACATTTATCTTGGTTCAGGTCACATGGTGTAAAAAACAGGACATCTTTTATTTCTGCTTCCACAGCTCTCTGTACACTCTCTGTATCAGAGTAAATGTACTGACACAAGCCTCCACTGATCAAAAGCAGAGGCACCCTCTGTCTTCCAGTCGTTTCTTTTTGTGGTTCCTTCTTCAGTTCCTCTATCACTCCATCATCATTCATGCAGTGCAGAGCAAACTGGCAAGATGGGAATCTCCCCTCTACTGTCTGAAAGAACTTTGCCAACTGGTGAGCAGTAACACCTGCAGTTTTTTCAGGTAAGAGACTTGAGTTCTTTCTCAGGTCCTTGACCGAACCTTTAGCCAGTATACCTGTGTCCTCAGCCATTTGAAGGATGGTGAACTCGTCAACATCTTTGCGCTTTATGTTTTCAAGCACAACTTGGTGAAATGGGTACTTTCGCCCCACAGTTGTCTCTGAGCCAATCTTGTTGTACTGATTAGCAGTGGCCCAAATGAAAGCCAAGAGTGGATTGAGATGTTGCAAAGCAGGCATATCGCTACTAAGATAGACCACATGGAGGCCCTTATCCAGCATCAAGGAATCAACTTCATCCACAATTGCACATTCAAATGTTCTTTGCCCAAATATGTCAATTCTATAAAAAAGATGACAAAGCCAGTCTCCAGCAAACTAATAAACAGTACCATACACAACCTGACACTTATAGCACTTTTTTAAAATGTCTTCGTCTTGCTTGTCAGTGTTGCAGTTGACAGTGATTTTCAAAACTTCATAAAAGTTTCGCCATTCATTCAAATCTCTCTCTGCAAGAACTGGTGAACTAGTGATGATGTCTACCTTTTCTCCTCTCATAGCTCGAAAAGCTGCAAACATTGCCACAATACATGACTTGCCCTCTCCACTGTTGACCTGAATTAAGCGTCCTGTTTTGGAAAGAGCCATGATACACCAGCTCACCATCTGCGTCAGTCGGGGTCTGAAGTGAGTTTTTTCAGCTGCCTGACAAAGCTTCAGCAACACTTGTTTCAAGTCACTGTGCTGTGATCCATCATTGTGTGAAGTTAGACCTTTGTTGACTGATGACACAATGTCTCTCACATCATCTAAGAGCTTCTCATTAATTTGATTTAACTTTTGTTGACAGATTTCCTCGAGAATTTCATCCAGTTGCTTTTCTGGGTCATCGGCTAAACAGTTCTTGAGGTCTTCATCTGTCACAGTCTCGTCTCGGACCAGCTCAATAAGTGTCTTCTTTCTTGTCCGACATTTCCAACTCGGAGTGATGTAATAAATCTCTATACAGTGCAACATCTTCAACATCCAAGAGAGGAGCAGTGATCGGTCAGATGTTGATGACTCAAAACGCTTCAGAAGAGCATTGAACAAGTCTGTGGCATCTGCTGGGCTCCATTTGATGTTTGTAACCAGTCCCTGCAGCTTGTCGAAAAGATGCTTTTCATTATTGTCAGAAGTCAACAAACTCTGATTAATACATAAAGCTCTGAGTGTGTTCAACAAATCTGCGACTTCAGGATCAGATGTGTCAGATTCAGCCATTTTGTAGAAAAACTGTCAAATCTGGTAGAAACAGAAATGGAAAAAAATGGATTTTGAGATACTGACTTTCAAATTGTACACAATTTCCAAAACATTCTTTACCTAAAACCTCAATATATAATATAATGTTGTGATAATGATACTAAATGCTGAACATTTTTTGGTGTGTACCGAGGTATTGTTCAAATGCACTGACATTTTTTTTAAATGCAACATTTTATTCCCATTTTTTCACAATTGTAAAAAAGATCTAAGTCTTTTTCATG